CTGGCTGATCCACGCTTCGTTTGGCGCGTATGAAAGATCCTAATCAGAAGTGATTAAGAAGGAGCTCAAAAATAGGTTCCAGAAAAATTGAAGTATCAGCCACGGAAGGCAGCATGTAAATGGGCTGAGTAATTGCTCAGGTAGGATAATGTGGATGCTACTTCGCAAAACATGTTTCACGCCTTCACCATTTTTCTTGGATTTTTAATAACAATAAATGTAAAGTGATTCACTAATTATGGGACAACCTAATAAAAACAAAAAATTGCATTTGTTCGGTAAACAACCTCAAGAATAGGAAAGGCTGTTCCACGTACAAATTCCCGCTGCAAATCTGTCACAAATGTTGGCGACGGAAACGATCCCGCGTGTTTCCCTGAGTGCCATCATTAGGAGCTTTTTTTGTTCCTTTCCACTTAGGCAATAGCATTCTTTCAACCACATCCTATTCTCTCGATCATTTTGCCTCTATTCTCCCAATTCGGACGCTTAAGCCCGATCTTTTCACATTGTCCCCGATACGTGACGGTCCCAAGATGTTTTTCTTCCCTTTTCTTTTGTATTCTCTTGTTTTCGCCCGGCCTGCCGAGATTTCGACAACCTCGACGCAAGATTGTGATACGTGGAGAATCGCAAAGCTCAAGAGGCGAAGCCTCAAACTTCCAATTACGGTTCCCTTGCTCCGGTTGCCGCTTTCTGGGGAGATTTTACAATCGAAAACATTGACGGAGAATTCCTGCATTTGACTCATAAAGCATCTCCACGATCAAACTAGGAGAGCGAGTTCTAAAGCCGCCAAAAACGTCTATTATAAAGAAGAAGGCCTCGAGATAAACTCTAGACCTGAAGTCGTATGATGCAGGCACGTACGACTTAGGTGAAGATGACAAAGAATTTTGAGTGAAGGAAGCAGCTGGGCTGGTTGAAGCAGGAGATGCTGAGAGGTTTTCCGAACCTCGCCGAAAAATCATAACGTCCGCAAGACTAAAAATACTATGCTCTAACATCAAGGCGGAACAGTCATGACGTCTTCAAGGGCTGCTGTGGAAACCTCTCACCACTTCCATGTACTATGACCCCTTCGACTGTCAAATGAGTTTACATCACATGTAGACGAGTCAGAGTATGAGCTTTTTTAGAGAGATCATAATGATGGGAATTGAACGGGTCTTTTATCTATTGTAATAAATAAAAAGCTCACAGACGAGATGTCCACTTGTCACTTACTGATGAGCACAGGGAGAGGATATTCTTCTCGTTTAGTCTCCGTCTAAAGGTACGTGCGAAACGGAGACTAAACTACTCTTGGAATCCCACCCCCTTCAAGAAAATCTTTAAAAAAGTGCAAATAATTAAGAGTTGGAAAACATTCTCCTCTGAATAAAATAATGAAAGACTCTTGAGTACAATAGTTCAATGAGATACCAAGCAACTGATTTCATTGAATATTATGGTAGATAAGATCACTTCTGGTATTGGGAGAAATTCCCAAGTTTGGCGACAAATTGCTGGAATTAACGGAAAATATGTGGAATTAGTAGATCAGGAGCTGTACTTTTCCCTTTCAGATAACTGTAATTTTGGAAAACATTAGGGA